AATATAAATTTTTTGATAATCACTGATTTTGTGTATTTCCCGTTAGCACAAAAGAGGATTATAAAACAAGGTATTATAAAACAAAAATATTTTATGGGCAAAAATTGTTTATTATTATTTTTGAATTAACTTATTTTATATATATTTGAGAATTATTGCTTATAAAAATAGTTTTATTACGCAGATTAAAACATTTGATAAATTTGATAAATTTTGCATTAAATCTCAATAATATTTAATATTTTTATAAAAAAAACAAACTAGTGGGTATTATTTTATTAATTTAGATAAAATTGACAATATTTGAAATTGTATTTGTTAAAATCATTGGTAGTTTATTATAATATATTATTTTGTTTTAATTTTCAGATGATAAAATACAGATATTCACTGCCACATCTGCCTACGTTACATGCAGAGTTTACTTATTACTATTATCCCAAAGACGATGGTTATCCATGTAAGCAAATAATAGCAATTATTATTTTTAACACCCATTCTAATACACAAACCACGTTCTGGTTTGCAAAAACATTATGTATTTAACATTTTACAGTCAAATGTTTGATAACTTTAGTGAAAATTATAAAAATGTTAAGAAAGAATCATATGATAACAGAATCTTTGATGATGCAGTTATCATAACATTCTTTCTTGCTTTGTTTATGTGTAAAATACGCCTGATCGCACAGCAATTGAATAGACTCTTTCCTAATTTTCAATACTAAGAACAAGTATAAGAGAGCGTTGCCACGACAACACTATTTTATGAGCTCTGTTACGGCAGAATTGCCCCATTATTTTAATTATCTATTTATTTCAGTACCTCCTCCCAAACTATTCGCCCACATGAACCCAATCCAGATAACCTTGGACACGGATACCTGTCTCTGGTTGAATGCCTTTGCCCTAAATCTGCATCAATCGTTAACTAGTGCCAGTCTGATGTGTCCAGAAACAAAGGCTGCTGCGGATGGTTCGCCTGTTGCTCAACCTAATGACAAATCAATGTATGTTGATGTTAAACTGGAAGCAATCATGACTAGGGTAAAAAATAAAATGAAATTTGATAATTTTTGTTGGATTGGAAGTTATTGTATTGATTGTTTTTGTTTTAGATTATTTTTGAGTCTACAAAGGAATATACGAATCAAAAGGATCGACCAGGATCGTTACATATTCAGGTATATAAATAAAATTCATATTACATGCCCAGCAATACATTTTATTAACTTCCCGTAGGGTAAGTTATTGTAATAGGCCGAAAATCGGAATTCAAAATTTTTACATTTCTCGACGTTTTGAAGTTTCTGAACGTTTTGGCATACCTCAGAAAAAATGTGTGTGTGTGGTGTGTGTGTATGTATGTATTTGTGATACAATTTCCAGTCACGTTTTAGGGCGCACGGATCAACCGATTTGAATGGTTCAAAAAACATTCGATTCCTATTGATAGGGAAAAGAGTTGATTAGTTTTTGGCAAAGGCAGGCCCAGCCGTTTCGGAGATACGGAGCAAAGAGTGCAGTAAATAGAAATCGACTTTTTGAGAGAACGGAGTATCCGATTTGAATGATCTAAAAAGCATTCAATTAGTAATGATTGGGAGAAGTGTTTATTAGTTTTTGGCAAAGGCAGGCCCAGCCATTTCGAAGATACGGAGCTAAATATGTAAAAAATGGCAGTTTTTGAGAGAACTAAGCGTCCGATTTAAATGATTCAAAGAACTTTCTGGTTGTCTTAACAAAATAATCGATTTTGGGAAAAAAAAATTTGTTCCAATTTTTTTTTTTATTATTATTATTATTATTTTTTTTTTAGTTTTTTGTATATCGAAAATATTTCAGACTTTATTTTTAATTCTGACTATAGTTCTAATATACTTTACAAATAATTTCAACTCTGCAATTCAGTTTATACAATTCTTATAAATATTAGACAATGTTACAATATTTATAATAATCTATTTGAAAACATTCAGTATTTCTCGAACATTTCGTTACGGTACGGGAAGTTCCAGCAATTTGCCTTAAGGCACGATGCCATAATTGCCTCAAGACAGAATTCTACTTACAGCTAGTTAATTATTTTCCTTTAGATATCACGTCTTTGTGCAAGTAATGTCCGAGAACGTGATGGTTCCACTAGAGTTGATCTCGAATCCTGTCTGGACAGATTGCAAAATGGAGGCCTGGTGTTTGCTGAAGATTTCCCAACTGCTAGAAACGACTTCAATATTGTACATAGCAAATTTTTATCTCATGTTCACGGTAAGAAATTAACAATTGCTTATTGATTTATATAACAATTATTTCAATCTATACTTTCTACTATTACTAATTTCCTCCAGGTCAAGATGCCGTGAGACCACAACCTCCAAAATTATCCCAACTACCTCTAGCAGAGGCCAAATCAAGACTTTATCGTGAAATGCTGTGGACAGAAAGCAGAGATGTGTTCTGCTTGCGCCTGGATCCAATTTGGGCTGATTTTTATGGAGCCAAGTCTGTTGGCAAAACTAGACCAGTTCCACTTTTGGACGCTTTACCAGTTACTATATGGTTGTACAGAAATCCGGAGTGGAATCAGGGAAATCAAATGTTTCCGGCTATGTACCAGGGTTGTTGAATAATGAACAGAGAAAGAGATATAATCCATTTGACACCGAAAACGAGGTAATAAAACATTGTCAAATATTCCTACATTTGAATTGAAATTATATGTCTATTATCTTTTTAGATTTTGACAATGTCACAATACGAACTAAACCAATCAACTTCAATCCCATCAAATCATCAAAGTAATTCCTTTACCAAACTTCAACCGACACACGCAGAGATAAACGCTCTGATTTCAATAAGCAATTTGGTCAGTGTGCAGATCAATCATTATCAATACCTGTTCCTGATGCGACTTATGGAAGAAGTCGCTGAGTTGACTACATTTTTGTCACTTGATTCGACTAGAATTTTGAAGCAGGACACTGCTGGATCTTTGCTTGTGGCTGGTGTTATTCCTCAAGTAAGATAATGGATAGTTGAATATAATTGAAACTTGCTAGGCTTATATTGTTAATTTTTTTATTATTATTTTGGTGTAGATAGAGGTGACACTTGTGATGGCTTGTATGAACACCAGCAAGGAATCAAGTGGTGATATGGAATCGATGATACATGACTCAGCTAGTATTGCAGAAGATTTGCACATGGCTGGTAAATAAAATAATCATAGAATTAATTATAGTTTAAGAACAATTTCATTTCATACAAAAAATAATATTTTTTTTATTCTGGTGATGATTATTTATATTTATTTTACTTTTACAGCCAGTGGTTTTACAAACAACTCTTCGGTTTGTTCAACAACAAAAAAAGCAACATCAACTGATTTGCCACAGTCGCCTTTATACACTCCAGAAAATGAACAGGCTTATCCGAATAATATTCAACAGCATGTTGATATTACGGATCACAGTGCACCTTCTAGTCAACATTCTATTCTTACAAGTAAAAAGATAATAATATATTAAATACATTACAAGGTTTTTATGGTGGTTATTAATTGATAATTTTATTTTTACAGGAAAAAATACGAATGATAGGATGCCAGCCAACATAACGCCTCCAAAGATTCCTTCTGATATCAGTTTTCCAAGCATATCGAAAGATATAAATGCAGGTAATAATTATCAATGTTTTTATTGAAGTTTTAAATATAAAATCTACTTTCATTTCTACAAATCACAAATTAGTCATCAAGATATTTAGAGGCTTTTTTGTCATTTTTCTTCAAAAAATTACCTAAATTAGTGAAAATTTTTGGTATAATGTAAAGTTAAGTTTGAAATCATTTATCATTTATCATTACAGGACTATCCACAATGAAACGAGGTTTTACAAGTTTAATGAATCGTATGGACTCTGCAAAAAAAGACTTCACACTTGATGATGTCACAAGTGATACAATGTCGATCAGGAGTGACCTCAGTGATGATGATAGTGATAATTTTATTATGGTAGCGGCATTAAAAGGTGACGATCCAGATAGTCAGGAAAGTCACAATTGCCTGGACGCCATGTTCAGGTTTGTTATTGAAATTAATTTTAAGTCATCTAGAAAATAAATGAGAACAAACTTATGGGCATTTTTGCCTTATAACATAGTGTTGTCATGGCAACGCTATCTTATCAAAATGTCTATCTATTTGCAATGCGATCAGGCGTATTTTTCATGTAAAATTTCTTCCTTGCTTGTTTATATGTAAAATACGCCTGATCGCACAACAAATAGATAGATATTTTCACAGTTTTCAAGAAATAATTCGGGGCAAAATTGCCCCAATAATTGTTATTTTATATTGAGTATTTATTCAATATTTTTTGTTAGAGTTACATTTATCAGGCAAATGTTCCAAATTAGTTTAAATTTTATTTATTCCATTTTCAGTGTAAACACATTTACTCAAATGGGCGATGCCGAAGTGATAAAGGCATCACCTATAGAAGTAGCTAATGAAGTCCTGGTTTTCGATGAACCTGTCAGGACAAGTGCAAGTACACCCACAGAACAATCACACGACAGTTGCAAACGAAAAGATTTGGTCAGTTTAAATTATTTAAATAAACTTAGTATAAAATTAACAAATTTTTTTTTATATAGATATCAATGTCGACTTTCAAAATATCAAATGTAGAGTTTGCCCAACAATCTTCCGGTTTCAATTCAAGCACCAAAGTTCAATTTTATGAACTAGGTTGCGATGAATGCAGTTGCATACCCTGGGATGAATTACAGGTAATTTTTTATCATATATATTTTTTAATAATAATCTGTTTTTAATACAATAAAATATTTGTGATTTTAATATATCAAAATCGATAACAGCAAGTTTCTATAATTTCACACGACATGGTTTTGTTTGTTGCTTTGCATCAATAATTTTTCTTGATATTTTATGTCGTACATTTTTATGTCGCTTTTTTGTTAATGATATTTCTAAAGCAAGATTTTTATCATGGATACATTTTGTATGTGATAACTATTACATTAATTATTGATATGGCAATTGACAATAATGGTAAGAATTATAATGAATTTAGACTAAGAAAAATTTTACATCTAAAACACTTTTTTTCCTACTTTTTAAATTATTGTCAGTTGTCCAGAATATTTTTTTACTCATGTCATGGCAACACTAATTTTTTTAAAAATATTTTTCATATGTGTGCATATTTTTATAATAACACTACTAATATTTTGTACTTTTGTATTTTTCCCCTATATATAAACGTAACAAAAATATTTTCGTGCTTTTCTGCATGGAAAATAATCAAAAATAAAATGAAAATCTACAAAATTCAATATGGCCGCTCTGATTGTGTTTTCTGTCTTTCTTTGTGTCGTGCTCTCGACGTCTAGCGCGACAAGACGAAGGTATTTGCATCATTTATTATTATTATTTTTATTATATTAATATTGATTGTTGTGTAACAACGTGGCTCTTCGATTAAGCGAGTTTAATCTCTAAAAATATAGAATAAGGATTTTTATGTTTTGAAAATTTATTTTTACAATGTTGTCTACCGTTAATTTGAAATTAAACTCACTTCATGAAGTTAAGCGTTGTATATTATTTTATTGTTCTGCGTTTGCATGCCCTGTACTGTATTCAAAATTTAAATTAGTATATGGAAAAAAAATTTAAAAGTTTAATGCAACATTAATATTGTAAAGTTTATATTAATATATGATATTTAGAAATTAATGCTTAAAGTAGTTTGAAGCAATTTAGAAGAGTGTTTAGAAATTTATGATGAATCGATACTAAACTATATATAGTATACTGATTTTCTTATTTTCTTCAAGTATTACAATAAACAATAAAATAACTATTTGAAATTGTAACATCAGATTTTCTTGCCTATGTCAAATAAAAATTTCTTCTACTTTTATCAGTATTAAATTATTTCAATTCCATTTTCTACGTATCGATTCATCTCCAACTTGATAAACAAATAATCTATATAATTTTGTTTTATCAAAAATGCAGAACAAGTTTGCATCCCGTTCCCGAGTCTGGTCGTCGAACACAGCCAGTAGCAACCAGACTGCAACGACCAACAATGAAAATGTCGACTTTCCCTCGACCACTGCAGCAGATACAATGGTGAAAATAAGTGAGCCGAAGGTCAGGCTCAGGCTGGACCACTTTCCAAAAGGATTTGTGGATAGTGGGAGTGCGCTCACTGTGCAAAAGTGCTCGGACGCCATGAGGTAATAAATATCAAACAAATATTTGTATGCTTTTTTCTAAGCTTTTGGATATAGTTTTAATTGAACGAGAGAAGAAGTATAATAGAAATGATACAGTACTTATTATTTCATTTTTTGCAGTTGGTTCGAGGACAAATTAGAAGTCAGAGTAGATAATTTAGAAATGTCTTTGAATATGAGCACTGTTGCTGGATTAGTTGACTTTATAGAAGACGAAGTTGTACCAAATCCAATACCAATGCAAGTATGTACATTAAATAATTTTATTTAGTTTAATTACTGCTGGCATATTATTAACTCATTCAGATGTCTTAAAAATTTAATATTGTATTTTATGGTATAATAAGACTACATTATTTTTAAACTTCCCTAAGGAGTTTTTGTTTATGACAGAATATCCGATTATGCTTTTTCAACGTTTCAAGTCATTCTGAATCGACAGAGACCAAATTTGGAAAAAGTATGTGTGTGTGTATCAGAGCTGATTTTTAACTTTTTGTCGACGTTTTCGCAAAAAACTGTTGAACCTATTTCACAAATTTGACAGACATTCTATTAAACTCGGCTTGAAAATTGAAAAATTGTGCAAAATATATCATTTACGATTCATTCACAAGTTTGCAAATAGATTCTAATTTGAATCTAGTTAGATTTAAATTGATTCTAGTATATTTCTATTAGATTCTTACCAGAATCTTCTCAGATTCTGGGTTCTTATTAAATGCTTGTTAGAGCTTTGTTAGATTTTCATAAGACCAGAATATTGTTAGACTATTTGTATTAGATTCTAGAATATTAATAAATTCTGGATTCTTTTCTTGGATTCTTATCGATTCAAATTAGACTGTGTACTAGATTTGTATAAGATCCTCGCTAGATTCTTACTAGAAACTTGTTAGATTGGGCCCGCACTACTTTTTCGTAATATTCTTACCAAATTGTCATAATTGATTTGCATAAGACTAACACCAGATTCTTACCAGTAACTTCTAGAACCAAGATTCTAGAATATCAATTATTTCTGGATTACTATGAGTTCTAACTAGACTGTTGCTAAATTCGCATAAGATTCACACTAGATTCTTACAAGAAATTTGTTAGATTGGGCTCGCACTAGGTTTTCTTAAGATTTTTGCCAGCTTGTCATGAGATTATTACCAGATTTTTACCAAGAACTTGTCCAATTATTACCAGAAGCTTATTAGACTATAACTTTGTCTGACTGGACTTTTATTAGATTTGTTCCAGATTCTTATTAGATTTCTTATTGAACGCGTACTACTTTCATATTAGATTATCAAACTAGATATCATAATATGTTCATACTAGATTATCATACTAGAATATTATTAGATTCTTATTTTTTTCCTGGATCCTGATTAGGCAGTTTCTAGATTCTCACTAGAAACTTGTTACGAGAATCTTACTAGGCTTTAACTATGTCTAACTGGATTCTTATTCTTACCAGGATCTTTTTAGATACTTCTCAGATCTAGATGCTTATTGGACCCTCAATAATTTTCCACAGAATCTTATTAGTTTTCACTCAAATTCTAGACTTTTGTCTAATCCTGGATTCCCATTAGTTTCTTTTTTACTCTTTCTGGGTTCTTATTAGATTCGAACTTTCTTCCAACCTGATTACACTTTACTTTTAACTTTTTTACAACAAAAAAAACTTCCAAAATCGTTCTATATTGCTCAAATATTGCTAAAATTTTGACAGTTGAAAATTGTTGCCATGGCAACGCTCTCTTAAGCTTGCTTTTGGTATTGAAAATTATGAAAATGTCTAATTATTTACCAAGCGATCAGGCGTATTTTTCATATAAACAAGCAAGGAATAATGTTATGATAACTGCACCTTCTAGAACTCTGTTATCATAACATTATTCCTTGCTTGTTATGTAAACAATGTTTACATTTTTGTTTTTTAATTAGGTTATCCTGAACAATGTAGTCACGTCCCTTTGCGAAGACCGACAATCACACAGCCTGATGCAGTCTGGTTCCGGATCAGTATCCAGCCATCCTCAGCTCCATCATCCGCCAATCAGGTTCTGTGTTGAAGAGATGGTTCTGTCCAGAGATGAAACTGGAGAATTCAGGATACCGAAATCAGAACGCCACAGGCTGGACGGCAGAGATGGGTTATTGGACTTGGAAACTGATCGAATCAGAAAACAAGGTTTGAAAGAAAACTTTATATATAAGACATCTCGAAAACTGATTTCAATTTTTATATTCCAGAAGAGATTAAGAGACAAGAGGAAAAGGCTGCAGCTGCTCGCCATACGTTAAGTTTGACGAATCTAGTCGGACACTTGGAGTCCAATATTGAAGTTCTTAATAAGAAAATTTCTGATCAGAATAGGTATATTCAACAATTTAATTTTATTGATTTTTGTATGTTGATTTTTAACATCTGTTTTAGGACTATGCAAAGTTATAAGCAAGAAATTGGAGTTCTGAAAAGTCATTTAGCGAGTGCTCAAGAGGATGTTGAAACGTTGCTTAATGAGAAGAAAAATCTTTTAGATACGATAAGAATGTTGCAAGTAAGTAAAAAGAAATTAACTTTATGCTTTAAAGAAAAGTATATAGAAATTTAGGTTTTTAGACAATTTTCAATATTTCTATTTTTTTATTATTTATTAGGATCGATTGGGCAACACAGACTCGAGTTATCAAAATTTCAATTCAAAAAGATAACATTGCTGTTTGGACTGCACAAACTGCTGCAGCGTCAAAAGATCCTAGTAGTTTTAGAAGGGCCTGTTTTTGGGGAAAATGGGGACGACTGGATACGACCAGGTGTAATATTATGTGCAATACTGGAACCGTCTAAGTAATATAGTTTACTTTATTTTTAAAAATAGAAAACAGATATAATTAATTAACATGTGGGGAAATAAAAAATGTTTTTGGTACAATGTTGCTATTTGAAATAATAATTTTAGTTTAAATTATATTATATTTTTGCTATTTTATTTTATTATATTTAAGAAATTGGAAAATATAGATCATTGTAAATAGTTTTAGGTTAATATATATGTTTCAGGAAAGAAATACCTGAATTTATCTAGCATCAAAGTTATTGTTTCATTTAATGACATTGTACAAAATAATCTCACATGCACAATTAGTATCTTCTTATGATTTTAATTATTTTGAACCAAAATTAGTAATGTTGGATGGCAAGATGCTTTTTAACTTTTCCATATTATTTATGGTTATAAAAGCGATAAAAATAATTCTAAAGAACAGTTGAAAATAGCTGTGAAGCATGAATTGAAAATATCATAATATGGAATATTAAACATAACTAAATGTATAATGATAGGATATACCTTAAATGTGTCCATGAAGTTTCTGAACAGAATTTTGGTATGCTAATGAATGTTTGAGTCCTTCGTATCTGATAAATGCACATTCTTGTATTATAATAATTAATTCTGCACTCAATTCGGTATAATAATTATAATGTTTCGATTATTGCTTTATGGATAAAAAGCAGGAGATTTATCCATTTCTAACAAGAACTCCTGTCTACTTTTCTGAAATTTTAATGACACTTTGCATGGTTGTAAAAATCACAGTGAAAATGAACTCTGTACAGAATTATTAAGACAGTTGTGGTCTTAATCACAGAAGCACCTCAACATATGTACGGAAAACAAGTTTTTTCAAACATAAAATAAATTTTATAATTAAACCACTTTTTTTACAGTCCTATAATATTTTCAAGAACTTGTTCTCATTATCAATTTTATATCCATGCAAAATTTCCTTAAAATTCTAGACAAATAAACTGAGATTCTGGAAAGAAGTATTTTCTGTATTTTCTAAATTTACTTTTTGTAAATCTGTACAAATTTTAAGTTCTTTTATGAGGCATTTATTTAAACAATGTTGCCAGATGTTATCTGGTGAAGTTGCGGCGGATTTTGCCTGGTGTTGTATTGCCTGATGAGGTAACAGATAATCAAGTTATATAAAACAAAAATACTAATTTAAAAATATCTTTTATCAATAACGAACTATTTAAATTTATTTGCTTTAATTTACTTTTAAGATAATTAATTCTTACTTCCACTATCCATTACAATTAAGCAAAAATCGAAACGTTTCAAAATTTAAAAAACCCGCTTAATCGAACCGCTCAAATATCAACTCTATGTGTAAATGTGTGTCGAGGTTTTGTATTTATATAAATAATGTAAATTTGTACAAATCCGAAGAACGTCCGTCATAAATATTATTGTCCTTGCATTTGAGTTTAATATTGGTTTGTAATAAGTGTGTGTATATAGAAAAATCGTACAAAAGGTTTTAAAGAATTCTTTTATGTCAAAGGAGGTAATTTATTTCAAAATGGCCGTTTGAAATTTAAGATTTTAATTGATGGTGTGTCAATGTTTCTTAACTAGGGCAAAATAAATAAGTTATGGTGATAATTGTTAGTGAAAACGTGAAACAACATTATATTTAGATATTTGGACAAATTGTAACTTAAAATTTATTAGTCATATCACAATATGATGATCGTTGTAAATTATAACCAAAATGTGTTTTTATCCATACATCAGACTTGGTTAATCATTATAACTAATGTTTAGTTCTTGAAGTGAAATGATGGAGGGACTTGAAGACTAAATGATGCATAAAATTATTGAAAATAACATTGGATTTATAGACAGGTAATAGATTAAATAGACATTCAAAAATAACAATATATTAATGACAATTGAAGCATTTCTTGTATAGAGTTCATAAACATTTCTTTTCTTTGATTATAAATAAACCAGAAGTCAACAATTTTGATTATTATAAAAATCAACTCCATAAATCATTGATTATTAATTTAATGCTCTGGTTGGAAACATTGATACCTAGAAATATGTTTGGCAAAAATTTATATGCAATTTTATTTGTTTCCTTCTATGTGCTTTAATGGCAAGATAAATGTTTCGATTTAACAGGTTCGATATCATTATTAATGAATTTAAACATTTTGCAAAGTATGGATCTTGATTAACTTGAATATTCAAAGTCTATGATTGGATTTTATTATGAATCTGTTAGATCAAAATGTTTAATTCGAATGTTGGAAGTTGATATATATATATATATATATATATATATATATATATATATAATTATGGAATTATTTTTATGAACCCGCACTGGTTGTGTTATGTATATTGTACAGTAAGTGAATGTATGAACTTATCCTGATTTTTTTTTAAAAAGTAAATTACCATATTTGTGGTATATTTCATTGAAATGAGTAAAACTCCAATTGCGTGAAGTAAAGATAGTAATTAAAAATGATTTTGAACTCAAATTAGTATGAAATATTACTACTAAATACATATATGTATGTATTTCCATTAATTTACTCTATAAATGAAAAATGAGAGAAATTTTTGAAAAAAGGACTTTAAGCTTGCTATCGTTCGATTCTAAATATTGCAGTACCTAAAGTTTTTATACTCAATTTAAAAATTATTTTTGGATTTGTTACTTGTATATAATTACGATTTGTTACTTGCTATATAATTAGTATCTTTATTCTCGCAATTGTAGTTCTAGTTTAAGTTATGACTTATATAGTTTTATTTACTATTAGAAAAAGAGTGCCAGCAATAAAATATGTCATAAAATATTAATGTATCGCGCTGCTGTGATTGTAAATTCCTCAAAAAATGAAAAGAAATATATTATAAATAGTGTTACTTAAAAGCAATGCTATTTAATTTTTAGACCCTGAAAATCCTTAACCCAATTTGACTGTATATAATAATTCAATTTGTACAAAATGAAATAGTTTTTATTCATATATACATTTTACTATTATAATGTATATTTATGGTTTTCTATGGATTTTATTTTATTTTATGATTAGGGATTTAACTGGTCCTGAAATGCCCAATAGAACTTTCCTAGACAAGCGAATTAAACCTGAAACAGGATCCCGACCAAAGTATTTTACTTGAATTTCATTTCCTACTTCTAAACCAAGTGCTGAAGGATGAGAAACTTTTCTATGATCCAACTGTGAATTATGCAACAATGCCGGAGGCATATCTTTGTATAATTGCACCATCACACCGATATCACGGATTTCAACTATTTTTGCAGAGTATATCGCTCCAAACTCCAATTCTGGAACACGCTCAGAGTCCAGTAAATCTTGTATCATAGACTTTGCTTCGTCCAAGGCCAGTTTAGAAGGCGCGAATAAAGAAAAAGTAGTGTCATCTTGTTGGGTAACCTCAACGCCCGTTTCTAAATAAATTTTCTTTAAATTAGAAGCTCCGGCACCGAACAGTTTTGACCTCTTGCTAATTTCAACTTCTAGAGTTTCAGATACTGGCCAATTATCTTTTACCTTTCTGGGTTTATCGATACACTTCTCCATTATATCAAGGATTCTACAATTAGCATCCGCAGCCGCTTGCAAAGCTTCCATTACTATTTTTAAAGGCAATCCTGGAATTTTGATATCAGCCTGCAAAGCTGTGAATCCTTTCCTTGTGCCTGCTACTTTCATGTCCATATCACCCAGATAATCTTCGATACCCAGCAAATCAGTTAATAAACGATACTCTTCTATATGCTTTGTATCTCCAGGTGGATATCGTGCAATAAGGCCAATTGCAACGCCTGCGGCTGAACTTTTTAACGGAACACCGGCATCTAAAAGAGCAAGACAACCCCCACAAACACTTGCCATGCTGCTGGAACCGTTGGACTCTAGTACTTCTGATGTGAGGCGAATAGTAAAAGGATAATCTGAAGGTACTAATGGAGCAAGACCCCTTTCTGCTAAAGCGCCATGACCTAATTCTCTTCTTCCTAGAGGACCTATACGTCCAATATCTCCAGTTGCATATGGTGGAAATTCATAATGCAAAAAGAATTTTTTAACTTTCATATCACTTGTGAGCATCGAAGATGTATCTAATTTAAGAGCACTATCTGGCGAGTCTAAAGCAACTGTGCATAGTACTTGAGTTTGTCCCCGTTGGAATAAAGCGGATCCATGTAAAGGCTTGTACAAATTTACATCACAAGAAATGTTCCTTAGCTGATTTAAGTTCCGACCATCACAACGAATGTCATCTTCAAAAATCAAATCTCTGAAAATTTTCTTACTGATTTTATTAAATTCATCAACTATCACAGTTGGTTCGATATCTGTAAAACTTGCTCGTACCTTCTCCACAATATCGCTTCTCACCAAATTCAATTCGTTATCTCTACTTATTTTATCATGATTATAATTCCGGAATATTTCTCTAATTCTCATTTCACTTAATGACTTTATAGCACTTATTAAATCATCCGACACTTCAGGTAATATATTTAATTCTCTTTTTGTTTTGCCATGTGATTTTTGTAATTTTTCTATGGAAGAAATAATTCCTTGAGCTTCTCTCGTACCAAACTTGACAGCCTTTAGTAAGTCCTGCTGTAAAATATTATCAGCCTTGCCTTCCAACATAACAACTAAATTCTGTTTTGTAGCGCATACAATTAAATCCAATGTTGATTTCTGTAATTCAATTCTAGTGGGATTTACAATCAGTTCGGAATCTTTTAAACCGATCCTAACAGCACCAATTGGTCCATTCCATGGTATATCACTTAACGACAAAGCAGCTGAAGCAGCATTAATAGCTGGCACATCAGCATTGTATATTGAATCAACGGCTAACGAATTACAAACTAATTGGGTTTCATTAAGATAGTTAGGTGGAAATAACGGCCTGAGGCATCTATCTATTAACCTCGATGTTAATATATCAGTTTCTGTTGGACCTAGTTCTCTTCTTAAGAAATTCGTAGGAATGCGTCCTGCCGCAGCTGATTTTTGTTTGTAATCAACAACAAGTGGAAGAAAATTCCCAACATTATGAGACTTTGGTTTTGACACAGCCGTAACCATAACTGAAGTATCACCAATTTTGGCAACAGCTGATCCATCGCAAAATCGAGCGTATTTGCCAGTTGATATAGTTAAATTGCGTCCATTTGAGAAAATGGTATCGATCTCTGGTGTAGTAGCAGAGTCTTTGTGGACAAAGTTTTTACATAACCTAACAATTTTGGAGAAATTTAAACGTCGATAATGTTCTATTTTCCAAGTTCTGTGGAAAACATTTTCTTAAACTGGGAATTGTTAGCTAGTTTTGTTCTTCATTTAGCATCAGGATGCACCTTGTCTGCACCAACACTGGTGTTACGATAACATTTCAACATAACCTAAAAACCACGATATTTAAACAAGACTCATTGATGGTTGATGTATATAATGCCCTTGTATGTATATGAACACATTTATTTATTCTCTCTGTGAATTTTTCCACTAATTTAAAAAGTTATTTGGAGATTTGTATTATGCTAAATATCTAAAATATATAACTATAAAATAAACTTCTATCAGCTCAATACTACAGTTGCACAATCAAATACAAAAAACATTCTTAACCTTTTGTGTTAAGTTTTGTTAGGTTAAGGTATATTAATAATTATCACATTGTTTTTATTTTTATTGGAAAAATACTTGCATTTGTTTTCTCCAGAAGAGGTTAGAAAAATAGTTATCCAGTGGTTCAAGAGGTTGTTGTTGTCCGTTGAGTTTTAAAAATTTAAACTTCTATGGTCTAATATTAGATATAAATGTATTCCGCAAAGTTTTAGCTGTTTCTCTATAACTAGCAAAAAGGTATAAGATTGTAAGATTATTCACAGTTCATGGTCTAACGTTCCAAAATATTATAAGCCTACGAAAAGTGGTTCATTTATAAACCCTAACTAAAATTTCTAATTAAACTAATTTCTTACTCTTAAGATTGATTTGAAGCTGTTTCCCATAGCTGTATGCACTATGTTTATGTTGACCTTTGTGTAAATTGCAATTTATGATTCAGTAATGATTTTGTACAAGTAAATTTAGTTTTCCTAGACAAGTGTTGAATTGCCCCTGAGGAGCCTTTGCAACTCTTTAGCAGTTTCTCCAAATGTTCGTTAAAACTAAGGTGACCATACGTTCCGGATTGGCCGGGACAGTCCCGATTTTCTGCCTTGCGTTCCGGTTTTTTCTAAAAGCAATATTTGTCCCGGTTTTAGGTGTTTGCCCCGGATTTGTCCCGAATTTTGATTGGCGATATTTTTTTAATAAATTCAACTAGAAAATTTGAACTGAAATAATGTGCTTATAAGTTTTTAGCT